AACTCTTGGGCTTAAGTGATTCTCTTGCCTCAGCCTCCCAAGTAGCTGGTGCCTGGCTAGCACTACAGGTGCCTGGCTATTTTTTGGTTGTAGTTGTCATTGTAGTTTGGTGGGCCTGAGCTGGATTCGAACTCGCCAGCTCTGGTGTATGTGGCTGGCACCTTACCCACTTGAGCTATAGGTGCTGAGCTGAGAAGCACACTTTTTAAAAAAAGTGAAATTGACTCAGTTGGAAGGATTCTGCCTGGGGTCATCCACAACTATGTGGCTGAGTGCATTGAGGTTACCTGCAGGATGGGTGATATTCACGGTGGTACTTCACTAGGAATGCATCTCAGCACTGTCAGTGTGATCTGGGGATGTTCTGTATTGGCTTATACCTGCATTATGTTTCTATATTAGGAATATTTTTCAATTGAAACTTATAGCTAAATGGACTATTTTTATATTGAGTGAAACCTTATTACAGGTGTTTTTTCTACTTGGAATGTACTCACATGGGAAAACATTTCTATACCAGAGATAATAATAATGAAATTATATTAGGACATTTCTATATTCTGGAATGTTTCTCTATTGGGGAGTGCCTTCATTCTGAGTGTTTCTGCCTGTGGGTGTTTGCATACAGAGAGTGAGTTTGTTTTGGGTGAAGTCTGTTGCTCTTAATAGTTGGCTTATGTGAATCCAGAGGAAGGGGCAGCTGCCACAGAAGCCCCCATCCCAGCTGGCCGGTACTGCACTCTGCTAACAGACCACTCACACGTACACTGATCTCTGCTACTTCCTGCTGCAGCTCCAATTATTCTGAGAAGCAGGCAGGTCACAAGTTCCCAGGAGCAGTCACACCTCCCACCCGGAGGTGAAGGAGGCTGAATCAGCTCTCAACCCCCTCTCACCTCTGCCTGGCCCCCTGTCCACATTCCCTGGGACCTCTCCAGCTCTGCCTAGATGCCAGAACCTGGGATTTCACTCTGTGTGTGCCCTGAGATTGCCATTTGTTGCAGCTGCAAGGACTACAGCTGGCCCCCTCTAAACCTGCTCCTTCCGCAACAAGCTGTAAGATTGATTCTCCAGTGGACAGGGGCAAGACAGAGAAGGCTAAATGAATGGACCTGCAAGAGCATCCTTCCTTGCCTCCCTTCCCCTTGGCCCACCCCCGTCTGTCCCAGGCTACTCACGATGACATTGCAGAGCAGGAGAAACAGAGAAATGTCTTTTAGGCAACGTCGTCTCCAGTGGCTCCTGGGGGCCAAGATGATGGCGGCTGCTTCCTGAGAGTCTGCTGGGCTGGGGCTGGGGCTAGCCAGACTGGGGGTAGGTGGGCAGGTGGGCAAGGTATGGAGTGCATCGTGGTTGGCAAAAGTAAGGCTTTGGCAAGGCTCTTTGGGGGGATTATCAGGAGGCTCAGGCCCTGGTGGTCCCCGGTGGAGGCTCTCAATAATGAACACATTCTGGAAGGTGTGCTGAGCAATCATGAGCAGGGCGTGGGCTAGGTTGAGCCCTCCTAGCAGGTTCCTGGGAGTGCCCACCACCACAGCCACAATGGAGTAGTAGGAGATGGCATACTGGCCCAGGGCAGCACCCATCAGCAGGGCCACATCCAGGGTGCGTGTGGGGTTCTTATGCTGGTCCATGGCCCGGCGGTCGAAACGGTAGATGACTGAGCCACTCAGGCTGACCAAGGTCATGAGTCCCAGACAGACAATGTTAAAACTGTAGTAGATGACCAGGGCCTGCTCGGTGTGGCCTTCCTCCCCACTCACTTGGACCTCATAGGTGATGAAGACAGCCAGCCCCACCAAAAAGAGCATCAGGCCCAGGACTGGGCCAGCAAAAAAGGTCTCCCGGAAGAGGCTGACCTGGGTTGGTGTGTGGCCGTGGCCGTCGTGGGTGGAGGCCAGCAGCCTGCCCACATTCTTCCACATGACGTAGAGCATGGTGGAAGCAAAGAGGCTGTACTCGATGTTGAAGGGATATAGGTAGAAGTAGCCCTGCTGGAAGATCTGGCAGACAGCCGTGTTGCAGGGGCAGGGGTCTCCTCCGACCGGGCTGCCCACCCGCTCCACTGTGGAAAGAGGGACGCAGAGCTGGACTGCCCTCTTGTCTTCCTAGAGACACCTCACCCCTAGCCTGTGACTTCTGTAAGGGCAGCATCTTTGCCTATTATATTCCTCACTGTATCCCAAACACCCTCAGAGGGCCTGGCACGTTCATTCAGTCCACAAACATTTGTTGAGCACCTACTGCGTTCCAGAGACTGTGGGACACATCAATCTCCCCCCAAAACCTCAATATGAATGACAGAGCTGTCCCTGTCACCCCATTCCATCCCCCAGTCTCTCCCCACCCTGACTGCCTGAGCTAGAAGGTGGCCCTCTATAGAACCCCTCAAGTTCAAGTCTCCTCGCGGCTCTCCTTAGCATCTGACTCAGTCCAGGGAGCCAACTGCCATGTCCAGGTCTCCACTGTGATCCCCTGGCACTTTTTTGTTTGTTTGTTTGTTTGAGACAGTCTCGCTCAGTCACCTTGGGGTTGAGTGCCATGATGTCAAAGCTCACACCAACCTCAAACTCTTGGGGCTGAAGTGATTCTCTTTTTTTTTTTGAGACGGAGCCTCAAGCTATCCCCCTGGGTAGAGTGCCATGGCATCACGCTCACAGCAACCTCCAACTCCTGGGCTCAAGCGAGTCTCCTGCCTCAGCCTCCCAAGTAGCTGGGACTACAGGCGCCCGCCACAACGCCTGGCCATTTTTTTTTTGGTTGCAGCCATCATTGTTGTTTGGCGGGCCTGGGCTGGGGATTTGAACCCACCGCCTTAGGTGTATGTGGCTGGTGCCTTAGCCACTTGAGCCACAGGCGCCGAGCCTGAAGTGATTCTCTTGTCTCAGCCTCCCAAGTATCTGGGACTACAGGTTCCAGCCACAACACCTGGTTATTTTTTAGAGATGGGGTTTTGCTTTTGCTCAGGCTGGTCTTGAACTCCTGAGCTCAAGCAATCCACCTGCCTCAGCCTCCCAGAGTACTGGAATTACAGCCCTGTGTCGAACCCCTGGACAGAGTCTTACTCTGTCACCCTGGGTAGAATGCCGTGGCATCATAGTTCACAGCAACCTCTAACTCCTGGGCTCAAGTGATCTTCCCATCTCAGCTTCCTGAGTAGCTGGGACTACAGGGCCCACTATAACAACCCATGCCTGGCTAGTTTTTCTATTTTAGTAGTGACAGGGTCTTGCTCTTGTTCAGGCTGGTCTTGGACTTCTGAGCTCAAGCAATCCACCTGTCTCGACATCCTAGAATTGCCAGGATTATAGGTGTGAGCCATTGCACCTGGCCACCCTGTTACTTGTAGTTTGTTCCACACTGAAAGAAACCTTGATTTGAATCCAGAGTGCACTTTGCAGGATGCCTTGGGTCTTGACAAACATCTTTTTTCAGCCTAAGAACTAACCCAGCTGGTTTTGCAGATGAAAAAACTGACCTGTGGGTGGCACCTGTAGCTCAAGCAGCTAAGGCGTCAGCCACATACACTAGAGCTGGCGGGTTTGAATCTGGCCCCAGCCTGCCAAATAATGACAACTACAACCAAAAAATAGCCGGGTGTTATGGTGGACATCTGTAGTCCCAGCTACTTAGGAGGCTGAGGCAAGAGAATTGCTTAAGCCCAGGAGTTTGAGGTTGCTGTGAGCTGTGACACCATGGCACTCTACCCAGGGCTAAAGCTTGAGGCTCTGTCTCAAAAAAGAACTAAACAACAACAAAAAACTGAGCTTCAGGAGGTAGTGTGACTTGTAATGGCAGAGCTAAAGCAAACTGCCGGACTTCCAACACCGAGCAGGTGCCTCTCCAGTGGGCCTCTCATCAGTCCTATGGGCCATGGTGTTAAGTTGACCACCTCCCTAGCGGGGCTGCAAGCATCCTCAGGAGTCCTCTTTGTGCAAGGTAGTCGTATATCAATCTTGCTAGCAAGGGTCTCCTGCAGGGCTGGGGCCATACTTTCCATATGGGGGTGCGTGTGTGTCTCAGTCATCCCATCTGGTCCTGATTTGTGGGGTCCCGAGAGAGGTCCAGAGAACTAGGACGGGATTGTGGACCCTGGTTTTCCTTAGTATAACATATTGATTAAAAGCAAGGATGGATCTGAATACCAGCACTTTGACTTCAAACTCTGTGATCTTGGGCAACTTCTCCATACCCTAGTTTCTGTAAAATTGAAATACTGATAATAGCCATCTCATAGGGAACTTGCAAGGGTTGAATAGAACATTTAAGACACTTGGCACAGTGCCTGGCATATCGAGCTCAGTAAATGGCCAACACTGTCATCACAATGATTACTTCTCACCTTCCCCTCCTTCCTGGGCTCTCCAACTTGATCCCCTGTTTGTGCCACAGTACCACTCTGTCTCGCTTACCCTCTTCCCAGCTGGATCGCCCTTGCCCTTTCTTCCTGGAACCTGAGTCCCTTCCTGGTTGGATGGAAAGTGGACAATGGGGCCAGGGCTGCACCCTCAAGAGTGAGAAGACACCCTGATTCTCCCCTGCCAGGTCACCTACACTATACTTCAGAGGTGGAGCCTAAAGCAGGAGGTCCCTGGCTTCCACCTTTACCTCCATGCCCCTCGAGGGCACAGGAGACTGATACTGCAAATCCACAAAGCACCCAGCCGCAGAGTCAGGGTTAAGGGGGAACTCACGGTCAGAGGCAAGTCGGGTGTGGCTGGTGTTACTGTGAGCACTGGTGTAGGAGTGAGCCTGGTGCACGGATTCATCCACCACGGCTGCCATCCAGATGGCTAGGTTGGTGGTGAGTGTGAACATGAGACCACACCTGTTTAGGGGGGAAGAGGCCAGTGACTCTTTGGCTGATCTTGGGTCCCTGGGGAGGTAGAGGTATGCTGAGAGATAGCATTGGGGAGTGAAAAAACAGCAGGCCCTTTGTGAACAGGAAGCTGAATTTTTTTTTTTTTT